TCCAGTTTCTTCCCCCTTCGCCCTATAGTACGCCCGCAATGCGTTTATGTTCATTTTGTCCAACGCATGCGGCGTACTCCACCAGCGGCGGGTGCCGCTTGCCGAGTCCGAGAGGACCCCGCCGACACCAAGCCGTCTGGTGGGGATGATGGACGCGAGGGGCTGCTAGGTGGTCGTGCAGCACCTCGCGCTCGGCTGGCGGCTCGCATGTTGTCACGTCCAGCGCCAGTTCAAGACGCGCCCCGGCGACCCCCAGGCAGCGGCCCTATGCGCGTTCTATTATTTTCCATCATCCATTAAATTGGGCGTCAATTAACGGGAGACGCCCAGACCCGGCGCCGTTTAATAGTGTGGCCGTAAGCACAAACGGGCCTTTGCACCCTCAATACTACCGAGGCACGGCGCTCACACCTCTTGGCAAGGCACTGACTGACTGCGCTGACATAGCAGTTTTGTCACTTAACTGTTACGTCAGCGGGCGATGGGGTCGTCACTTCCCTACGCCTCTATTATTATTTTCGGAAAGTGTTTTTCACTTCTCAGTCCTTGGACTGGAATTGAACTACATTTACGGGCCGAAACCAAAGCAAATGCAGCGTGAGGTGTGTATACTCGTATTTATGTATTTTCATGAGGTCCTATTTCGTTTACTTCTATTTGCATGAATTTCCTGACAATTCTGCATGTATTTAATATAGCGGCTTTTTGCAGTGTTATGTAGAGGGTTTCCTTTAGGTCTAATAGTTTCAAGCTATGGAGGAGATGATTTGGTATTACGCCTGTTGTGGAGAGGACTATAGGAACCACATATACTTTTTCTTGTCGCCAGATTCTAGTCACTTCATCTTTGAGCTCCGCGTACTTACAAATTTTTTCTGTGATTGTCTTCTGTATGTTGTGTGTGTTGGGAACTGCAATGTCTATCAGGTACGTAATTTTATTTATTTTGTCTTGTAGGATTATATCTGGTCTGTTATAATGGATTGTCTTGTCAGTAAGAATGGCGCGGTCGTACAAGAGTTTATGTGTAGTATTTTCTAGGGTAATTTTTGGTGTATAATTGTAGTAAGGAGTGTTCGTATTTTTAATGAGTACGTGTTTGAGTGCTAGTTTTTGGTGAATGACATTGGCCACCTGGTTGTGCCTGTGGGTGTAGTCAGTCTGCGTCAGAGTTGTGCATGCGCCTGTTATGTGTTGGATGGTTTCTGGGTGGATGTGGCATTTGCGACATTTGTCATTAATTACTGTAGGATCTTTTATTATGTATTTCCTGTAGTTTTTTGTGTTTATGATTTGGTCTTGAATAGCTATTATAAATCCTTCGGTTTCCGGAAATATGTTGCCTATTTTCAGCCATTTATTTGAAGCTAACTTATTTATGTGTGGTTGCTCCAAGTCATGAGGGTGCCGACCGTGGAGTACTTTCCTCTTCCAATCCTCAATTTTTTGTGTCTGCTGGTTATCAATGGTAGTGTTTTGGGTTTCTATTTGATTGCTAAGGTTAAGTGGAGTGTAGTTAATATCATTTGTTACTATGGCTTTATGTATATTACTAGTGTGAGACTTTGTGTAGAAGAACGATTTTAGTCGTTCAACTTGTTTCTGCCTTAGGTGCTGAATATCTATTAGACCTCTCCCTCCAAGTTCCCGTTTTATGGTTAATCTTTCTATGGCGGACTTAGGGTGCAGGTTGTTATGTTTCGTAAGTGTTGTTCGTGTAGTACGTTCTAATTGTTCTGTGTCAGTTTTGGACCATTTTATAACCCCGAATGAGTACGTTAATACGGGAATGGCGAAGGTGTTTATGGCTTTGATGAGATGTTTACCTGAAAGCTGCTTTTTACAAACGGCGTTAAGTCTTCTCTTGTATTCCGTAGTTAGTGTACTTTTTATTCGTACGTGGTCAAGACCTTTAAGTTGCACATACCCTAAATATTTATACAAGTCAGTCGGTTCCATTGCTGTAATAACATCCGTGTCATTCACTACATAGTCGCCGGGCCTTACTTTGCCTCTTACGGTGTGAAGTGTTTTACATTTATCCAAACCAAATTGCATATTAATATTGTTACTAAATTCTGCTGTAATATCTACTAATTTCTTCATATCTTTTTCTGTTTTTGCGTATAATTTGATGTCGTCCATGTATATAAGATGCGATATTGTTGTTTCGTCTGTATTATTTTTTAGACTATATCCTGCCTTACAGCTCTGCAGCAAATGAGACAGAGGATTTAGGGCGAGACAGAACCACAGTGGGCTTAGAGAGTCGCCTTGGTAGATGCCTTTTTTGATGGAAATATATCGTGTTGTGATAGTATTTTTGTCACAATTTATTTGTAGTTTTGTTTTCCATTGTAACATTATACGGCGTAAGAAATCTATTATTTTCGGGTTTATTCTGTAAATCTCTAATATTTGTAACAACCAAGAATGAGGAACACTGTCAAAAGCTTTTTTATAATCAATATAGGTGCAATGCAAATTTCTGTTTTTGGAGGTGGCATGTTTATGAATAGTGGAATCAATAATCAGCTGTTCTTTGCACCCCATGTGGCCCTGTCTACATCCTTTCTGTTCTTCCGCTATTATATTGTGATGTTCGATGTGTGAGTGAATTTTCTTTGTAATTGCAGATGTCAATATTTTGTAAATTGTGGGTAGACATGTAATTGGTCGGTATTGGGAAGGCTGAGGTGAATTTTTGGTTTTAGGTAGCATGTAAGTAATTCCTGTTGCAATAAATTCGGGCACATTTTGTTGTCCTACTATAATATCTGTTAAATTTTTAGCTATAGATTTGTGTAATGAGGTTAACTTTTTGTACCAGAAATTATGTATATTGTCTATACCAGGCGATTTCCAATTATGTAATCTAGCTGTAATATGTGTAATGTCTGTCTCTGTTACCTCTGCGAATTCCATCTCGTCAATATCTCTCCATTTTGCTTCTTCTTCCACTATCCAAGATGCTTTGTCGTTGTGTTGTTTTTGCTCTTCCCAAATACTAGCCCAATATGCTTCTAGTTCTTCTTTTGTAGGTAGGTTGGATGTGTTTCTGGTATTTTCATCACTTGTGTCTGTTTGTGGTTTTTGTAGGTTCCTATAAAACATTTTTTCGTTTGTTGCAAATGTGGTGTTATCTCTTTTGCGTTGTAATGCCTTTTTGTACCTTTTGAGCCTGTGAACTTTGAGTGCTAGTTTTTGTTTTAAGGTGTCTAAAAATTCTTCGGGTCTTGTGTTACTTTTTTCATGTCTGGTGTGCGTGGAATTGTTCCTAAATATGACCTCAACTTTTTTTACTAGTTTATTAGATCTACAACCGTTAATATATTGAGTGAGTCTGCCTATGTTTGCCCGTATTTTTTCAATGTCTTTTTCTAGTCTCTGTTGCCACGCTGGTTCTATATTTTGTCTTGTTCTTGGCGTTCTTATGTGGTCTGTGATTTTTAATTTCATTTCTTCAGATATTACTACCGCTGTGCAATATATAAGTAAATGTATGTCTATGAGTTGTGTGTCATCAGATATATATCGTGTGAGTATAGTTTCATTAAATAAATTTATTAGACGAAATAGTTTAGGCGTGTATTTAAGTTTGGGTAATCTTGGTTGCACTCCTGGGTCCATCCCAGAGTATTGTGTTATTGTTGTTCTAAATTTCTCATTAATTTCTTGAATATATGTATCTGTTGTTAAGTGTTGATCTGGAACAACTATGGTCTCAATGTCATTTTCTAGTGTTAGTATTATCGATTCGGTTTGTGTGGATGTGTGTGATCTTTGTATATAGGCTTGTGAGTGGTTGTATGGCTGAGATTGTGCATAAATGAGTTGTGATTGATTAAGCGATTGTGGTTGTACATGATGACTATTTTCATTTGTGCTTTGTTTGGTATTATTAGTATCTCCATAATTATTAACCACTTCTTCTTCCAGTAATTGTATTCGTACTTCTTCTTTTAATTGATGTATTTCTTCTTGAGATAGAAGTTTATTCCTAACTATGGTTCTTCTTTGGTCTGAGATTCTTTGTTCTGAAACGGTAATTTCTGGATATTGTCGAGTGAAAAGTGCATGTAATTGTTGTCTATAGGCGGTCATATCGGTCTCTAATTTAGTGATATATAGATAAGTTCGCATGATAAATAGATTTACTTCTTTACTCCATTTCATGCGAACTCTTGCTTTTCCAGCCTTGGTGGACGCAGGTAAGAAGGTAGATACCCCCCGCGCAGCATTCAAAGTGGAAGTGGGTGGAACTGTATTTAAACTAATGATGGGGGGTGATGAAAGTATTGGTGACGATGGTATGGATGGTCTTGAGGGTGTGTATGATACTGAGCTAGGTCTATACTGTTCTACAGGGGTGTCCGTCCTGTCCGTCAGTCGATCACCATCGTCAATGATTTCGGCTGTAGCATCTTTGTCGGTGGGAGCCCGCCTGTTCAACTCCTCACCGCTGACGGTTCGCATGCTGAGACACCCAGCGTCAGCTCCAGGTGCGCCCCGGCGATTGCCCCCGGGCAGCGGCCCTATACGTTTACTTTTAGAACGAGTCTCCATTTTTTATGGGTTTCCAGAGCCACGTTAGCCACGCCAGTAATTTCTTATTCGTGTGTCCGCCCCCCACGTGATTAGATGGTCAATCAGGACGTGTGGTTGTTTAGGGGGCCTATTATTATTATTATTATTATTATTATTACTCCTAGTAAGCTGTCACCTGCACCATGCTATAACGCAAAGAATATAACTATAATAAGAAGTGCTAGCGCAATCGTCTAATAATCGTAAAAAGCATTTTCAAACAAGAAAAATTAAAAGATATTACTTGACTGTGGTTAAATATCTATTGTCTATTTATTTATCTATACTACTGTCAACGTGACAGCGTCTTAGCGGCTAAGGTTTCCAAATGAAAAAATATTTACAATAAACTTAATTACAAATATGTTACTTTAAAATTCACGGTGATACTAATATATATTGAAAGTCAAATAATGGCGAACCATTATGAAGTCCCTAGTTGGTAAGATATGGGTGAATTTCCATTATCACATAAAACATGCCGCCATTTAGTTTTCACTAAGTTTTTAATTGAAATTGTAGTTAATAAGATTTGGAATTAGTATCCCTAATATGCAAATCCTAATTGAGGTCCTAAGATATTTGTAACAGGCTAGTAGTGTTCGGGATATTTGGCTTTAGTAACAATGTTAATGTTCGATTGAAATCTGGCGTTTATTATCTGAGTACCATGATCATTTTGCTTATTATTATTTTATTACAATTCACACACAGTTATTATAATGTTGCAGGGCCGGCAAACCACCAACGGGATTGCATTTGGATGTTTTGAAGGGAGATAAGTTGATCCAAAAACTAATGATTGATGAGAAAAAATGCTACTTGTTTGGGCGCAATCCACAAATGAATGATTTTTGTATTGATCACGCAAGTTGTTCAAGAGTCCATGCGGCATTTGTTTACCATAAAGATTTGAACAGGGCATTTTTAGTTGACTTAGGAAGCAGTGAGTATAACAATTAAAACTTTACATTTTATATATCTCTAGCCTAGATGGGCACCGTTCAATAAAAGATTAACTTTGTTAATCGCTAATCTGTTACTAAAAAAGTTAACTTAGTTAAACATTAAAGTGTTAGGTGCTGTCCTATTGCTATCGCTCTCACAATGATGTGATGTGATTTCATCATTAGATGAATCTGCTTGTATGATTAGAAATCGTGTGTCCTATTTTGGAGCGATGCGATCACTCTCGAAATGGCTCTTAACAGAGATGCACAGTTTTTGCTGTCGAGCAATATTGCTTTAACGGTGTATAATTAAAAAAAGAGAACCTACACCACATAATATACTGTATAAAAACAGAAATCAGTGTGGTGAATTTCACAAACAGTATTACAATGTATGGCACAATGAAGAAGATTTTTTTAAATTAAGTTTTTCCAAATGTCATCTTACGAATGCATGCAACCGAACCGAATGATTACACAAAATGGCAGGCCGTCGAGCCGAGTGCATGTCGTGGTACCCCTCCCTTGCCTCCGGCCGTTGGTTGCGCCAGCGCCATTAGGACCTCCAGTACTGATTAGTCTGTTTGATTGGACGATCTATACGATGCGTCGATAATTGCACGTAGAAAATTAGACAATTCGGTTGCATCGCATGATCGCACAACCTTCAATAGGACATTCCATAGATATGAGTGTTTAAACGCACAGTCACAAACACACATTTTGGAACATTTAATGAGAGTTAACGTTAAGGGTGCGTTTGCAAATCGGGCCAAATTATGCTGTTTTTCGGTACATTTTGTGACAAAACTAAACCAAATCAAATATAACTAATAACTACAACGTATAGAATGGTTCTTTATCTTCAAATGGTGGTAACTTTTTTGTTGAAAATAGTAGTTTTTTACATTGTAAAAAGGATCTTCCCTAGCCATTTACTACAAAATTAACGATACCGGCTCATATTTCGGTACATTTTTTGTTCTATTATCAACATATATTAAGATTTCTAAAAATACTGTAAGTAGGCAGACATATTCAATAAAAAATGCTGGTGATTACTTTTTATCAAAATGTCACAAATGGTCGTAAAAAAAATAAAAACCGATGCTTATTTTTTGACATATTTTGCTGATACGGATGAATCCTAATGGATTGCAATAAGGGTCATTTTATTTTTAGTGTCTGTTTTGATTTGTTGTACAAAAATTTCGATGAAACCACAGTCGGCGCTCGGCCGCTATCGCGGGCGGTCGCTGTATCGCCTGCAGCAGCTGAAAAAGATCGCTGTACAAACACAAAATATTCGAATTTGATACATAGGTACATGACCTGACAAAGTAAAATAATACATACATAATATAAATATTTTTATAATCACAAATTCTTATTATAATGTTTTGTTTCGCTAAAAGCAAGTGGGATTTATAATATATAAATATATATAAATCCTATTCGTCTTGGACTTTATGGATTGATCTGAAAGTATACGGTGAATGCTACTAGAACTCCTCGACGAGTTGAACTAAGTGTGCCGAGTTTGGCTCATTATGTTAGTTATGACGAGACCTTACCTCCGGACTTGAAGGAATGACCTGAAGGTGTACTTCGGTAACTGCTAGTGGAACTCCTGGACGAGTAGAACTAGGTATGCCAAGTTTGGGCTCGTTTTGTTAGTTACGATGAGACCTTACCTCCGGACTTGACAGAATGACCTGATGGTGTACGTTGGTGACTACTACTGCAACTCCTGGACGAGTAGAACTAGGTGTGCCGTGTTTGGGCTCGTTTTGTTAGTTATGACGAGATCTTACCTCCGGACTTGATGGAGAGACCTGATGGTGTACTTCAGTGACTACTACTGGAACTCCTGGGCGAGTAGAACTAGGTGTGCAGAGTTAGGGCTCGTTTTGTTAGTTACGATGAGACCTTACCTCCGGACTTGACAGAATGACCTGATGGTGTACGTTGTTGACTACGGAGTCCGGAGGTAAGGTCTCATCGTAACTAACAAAACGAGCCCAATTTACGCATACCTAGTTTTACTCGTCCAGGAGTTGCAGTAGTAGTCACCAACGTACACCATCAGGTCATTCTGTCAAGTCCGGAGGTAAGGTCTCATCGTAACTAACAAAACGAGCCCAAACTACGCATACCTAGTTTTACTCGTCCAGGAGTTGAAGTAGTAGTCACCAACGTACACCATCAGGTCATTCTGTCAAGTCCGGAAGTAAGGTTTCATCGTAACTAACAAAACGAGCCCAAACTTGGCATACCTAGTTCTACTCGTCCAGGAGTTGCAGTAGTAGTCACCAACGTACACCATCAGGTCATTCTGTCAAGTCCGGAGGTAAGGTCTCATCGTAACTAACAAAACGAGCCCAATTTACGCATACCTAGTTTTACTCGCCCAGGAGTTGAAGTAGTAGTCACCAACGTACACCATCAGGTCATTCTGTCAAGTCCGGAGGTAAGGTCTCATCGTAACTAACAAAACGAGCCCAAACTACGCATACCTAGTTTTACTCGTCCAGGAGTTGAAGTAGTAGTCACCAACGTACACCATCAGGTCATTCTGTCAAGTCCGGAGGTAAGGTTTCATCGTAACTATCAAAACGAGCCCAAACTTGGCATACCTAGTTCTACTCGTCCAGGAGTTGCAGTAGTAGTCACCAACGTACACCATCAGGTCATTCTGTCAAGTCCGGAGGTAAGGTCTCATCATTACTAACATAATAAGCCCAAACTCGGCACACATGGTACTACACGTCCCGGACTTCCAGTAGCAGTCACCCAAGTATACCTTCAAGTCACTTCACCAAGTTCGGAGCTGAAGTTATCATAACTAACAAAACCAGCTCAAAGTCCACAGCCAACATCTCACTCCCTGTAGATGGCTTCTAGTACCTAGCTGTCTCTGAAGCAGCCATTTATATTTCGTATCCAAGTATATTTTTGTAGGTAATAAGAAATATGAAAAAAAAACAATCTTTCAAATTATCAAAATGTTTATACTTGATTGCGATTCCCGCAGCTAACCGTGCGTACACTTGTGTGTGTGACCAGTGTCAATGTAATAGTTCGATTCTATACCTATCAATTTTGTAAACGCGTCCTTAATAATCATTAATACCATTACATGTGTATAAAATAGAATTTTTTATACTGTTGCGCTAATGATCTGGTTGTAAAAATTATTGGTTTGGGTTCTGGAAGTTAACAGGTTAGGAAAAAAAAAGACGTGTATAATAGGAGTGTGTAATTTAATCATCTGGCATAATGTCGATATTGCCCTTCCTGAACATTAGTATGTTGAAGTTCTCGTCTGAAACCGAGGCTCGTCGTTTGGCGTTAAATATCTTTGCCCATGGAAAAAAAAATGTTCAACTGCAGCGCTTGAGGGTATAGCAGTATAATTTTGTGGCTTGTGCTGTGTGTTTAAAGTTTTGTGGCTCTTAGGATTTACTTTAGACTGAGTGACAGAATTGAAAAAGACTTCTTCCTTAACGTCGTCATTGTTACTTGCATTGCTGTCTCCGCCACTATCAGAAGCTTCTTGTCGTAACGCCTCCTTTACCTTTTTCTCTCCATGCATTTTTTTACTGCTTCTACTTGACTGCTGTCCATAGGTTTTCAGCCACATTAACTGGAACTTCGGGTGAAAAGCCACGGTAAGTTTGTTTGAAATGAATCATATATAATAATATGAAACAAATTTCTTCGCGGTTTATTTTCTCACTTACACGCACCGGCAATACTTACCTAGGTACTCAGTTTCTTTTCACTCGCGGCACGTGCTGCGCTGCACATGTCGACCGGCCCGAACTTACATGTCAGAACGTGTTTTTCTCGGCGGTGGTGCGGTGGCGTGGTGCGGCGCAGCAATGTTGCGTTTGGTAAATAGTAGGTACTGGATTAACGATTAACGGACTTGAGGAAATTTAATGAAAGCTAACGAATCTGTTAATTTTTTTAAAATTAACTTGATAATCTGCTAGTTGAAATGATAACTTCGTTAATTAACGATTAACAGATTAACAAGTTAATGCCCAGGTATGATCTCTAGGGATTTTACTTGTGGAAACACAGATGCCATATCACTGTTTCCGTAAATCTGTACGAAGCCCAGTTATGAACTTCATGAACCTTTTAAAGTTGGGTGATTTAGTATAATTTTTAAGCCTACTGACTAAGCCTAATACTAAAGGTGCACAACATCAAGTACTGCCACCTCCTTTCCAGGCTGCTCATTTACATTTCTCTTTACATTACAAGATTTATACATATTATGATTTATGTAAAAGAATGGGACTATAAATGGTGTTGCCTCTATTCACCTTTTCCTCTTTAACTGTATACTCTCACCTCCTGGTAATGACCACAAAAACATGTTGATGTATTGTTATAAGCGGTTTTGTGCTGCTAAATTTAAGCCGGAGTAACAGAACATACCTACTCAATATTCTTTTTTATGGTATTAGTATAAATCATAATGATTAATCTACTAAAAATAATATTGTTTATAAATTTATCAATTGATGTATATTATTGATTTATATTCATTTAATAATTTAATGACCTATTTCAATTGATTTCACTATATATTTAAAAAAAGATTTTTCCAATAATATAAAATCTCCAAATAAACTAACATAATGTTTTAATTAACTTATATAAATAATTCTAATATGCTGAGTACAAGCTCAATGAGCCGCTATTTCAAATCACTTTGTATTACTGCACACATAGTAAAAATTAGTATTATTAGGGTGTGTACAGATCAAGTAACATGTTGTATAACTTTCGTTTTATAACACGTCCACATTATGTAACATTGTTTTTCAACATTGCAACATAACAATACTGTACACATTAGAATAACAATGCAATATAACAATGTGATATGACATTGTCGTATGACATTGTCGTTTGTCGTTCTGCCGTTCGAGTTATATAACATTTGGGTCTCGTTATTTAACACGTTTTATAACATTCAGCGTCCACTTTACTTATACATGTTATATAACAACGTATATTTATAACATGTTATGTTATATAATGTGTATGTACCGTTAACTACAAAAATTATATCAGAAGTCTAGAATTTAATTAATTTGTCTTTGGACAATTATTGGTATTTATTTATGAGTTCACCTTCTTACAGTCCACCTTACTTCATACCATGGATACCTGCAATAAATTTTAAACAGAGATAAAAATTATTTTACACTACATTAGACCAGAACATTGCAGAGTATGCAATGCTGCTCGGTAGCAGAAATAGGTTAGAGGGTGATACCTACCCCGACAATATCCTAGGTGGGAAAGGTTCTACCACCTAAAATAGTACTACAGTTAAATCTCGATAACTCGAACCTTGTTAAGTCGTAATCTTCAATAAGACAAAAAATATTGCCATACCCTTCTATTGCATCTTGAATAATTACATTTGTAACCTTTTTTTTATAGGAGAGGGGGCAAAAGAGCATACAGCTCACTTGATGGTAAGTCACTATCGCCACCTATGAACAACTGTAACACTAGGGAATTTGCAGGTGCGTTGCTGGCCTTTTAGTATGGAGTAAGCTCTTTTCTTGAAGGTTCCTAAGTCGCATCGGTCCGGAAAAATCGCTGGTGATAAACTATTCCACAGATAGGTTGTACAAGGAAGAAAACTCCTAGTAAACAGTACAGTGGTAGACCGACAAGCATTCAGATGATGTGGATGTAATCGGGAGTTCTGCAGCGATGTGCGTTCGTAAAATTTGGCGGCTGGGATTAATACGAACAATTCCTCAGAGCACTCCCCATGGTAGATGCGAAAGAAAATGCAAAGGGATGCAACATCTCTTCGCAGCGCCAGTGAATCGAGCCGATCGGAGGGGACTCGGTCGTCGACGATTTGAGTCGCTCTGTGCAGGCTGCGGTCAAGTGGAAGGAGCTGGCACTGAAGAGCCCCAACCCAGAGATGGGAACAGTATTCCATGTGAGGTCGGACGTGTGCCTTGTAAAGTTGATAGCCGGCATGAAATAGTGTCCTGCTCTGCTGAGCACGCTAAGCTTTTTAGAGGCCAATTTGGCCTTCTCTTCTAAGTAACCATGAAACTGCACATCAATCGATATGTCAACGCCAAGGATTCCGATACTGGCTGAGGCAACAAGGGGAGTGCCTTGAAACTGAGGTGATATGACATAGGGGTTCTTTTTAGCGGAAAAACGCGCAAACTTGTGTCTTCTGAGGATTAAAATGGACTAGATTTAGTCACCGCCAATCCGAGACTTTGTTCAATAAAGACTCGATTTCAGTCACAACTTTGTTCCGGCACTCGGCGACGTTTTTCAGAGAAATTTGGACCGACCTGTGTAAAGAGCATCACCAGTGCTGTCATCCAATGAATGTTACCGGCTTGCAATATATCATTGATATGCAGAAGAAACAGCGTTGGTGATAGCACGCAACCTTGTGGAACACCAGCGTTAATAGGCGTGTAGTCAGAGCATATACCGTCTACTACGACTTTGATGCTCCGATCTGCGAGAAAGCTGGTGATCCTGGTGAGGTGATGATGAGGAAGGGAGCTTCGAAAAAAGCGCTTTGTGCCAAACCCGGTTGAAGGTCCAAACACCAACCATCACAATGTCCAAACTAATGGCCGATGCATCCCCCTTGGACTCGACTGCCTCCACCCGTCTGTGAGTCAAGTAGACCAGAAGATCATCAGCTGAACTTGAACAAAAAGTTATTTCCCTGCTAGGTATTTATAGTACACTATACCTGATTTCAAAAAGCAGACATGATAAGCCAAAGTAAGTAAAATATACTGATGTCTTGGACGCGGAATTCCCCAAACTTATAACAATAAAATCCAAAAGAAGTGTCTGTTGCTCTGTTTTATTGTGTGTACTTTGTATGATGAACATTTATTAAATTTTCTAAGTTAAATATCTGTGTAGTTTATGTTTGTTTATATTAGGGGGAAAAAATCGAAATTCTTGTTAGGTCGAAAACTCATTAACTCGAAATTTTTAGCATTTCCCTTGAACTTCGAGTTATCGAGATTTCACTGTACAATAACTAAATTATTTATACTATTTTTATTTTAAGCCTTTTAATTTTAGCACATGGAACTTACATTGGAAACATGAGATTGGAACCAAACAAGCCCACACAACTGCCTATTGACTCTAACTTCCACTTTGGTGCCTCTACAAGAAATTATATCATAAGGTAATCATTGACTTTTTACTTAAAATTAAGAGCGACCAACAAGCTTATGGCCCATCTAAATGTGTGTATCAGTGCTAATGTACCGGCAGCTAATTACTAACAAAATGTCTACAGGTACATTGACCCCTAGCATTTTACCATTTAAAACTGTAACATAGTGACTGCAGAAATACTACATAGTGTAAAAAAGGATTAAACAACTTTACTAACTATCAATCTCACCTATATCTGGTTTACCGTAGCTAATCAACAAAATAATTAAATTGGTTCTACTCTTTGTGGTTCTGCATTCACTTACTTGCCTGTTTACTATGGTAGTTGGGATTGTTTTAAAAAAGGACTATATTTCTCTGTTTATTTTTTTTTTCACTATGAGAAGCCAGTGCTTGGTTGCTATTTTACCCAATGAAAAGTGATGATATAGCTGAAGGTAGTCAATGTACAGTCAGAGCGTATCAAAAGTGTTTTACCTTTTTTGCCTTGAAGACACTTTTACCGTGATCAGACGGAAAGTGCACTAAGCAAATCTTAGGGAATAAGCCATTTATACAACATAATTAAATAGAAAAAGAAAAAGTACTGGCCACTAAATATTTTCTGTAAGTTGAAACTGCTTAGAAAAATTGTTCGAAATTTAAGACCCGTTATTAAAGACCCATCAGTACTTGACTACTATCCTACCTGACTGTAAGTTGTGATGCAGCCGAAGATGGTAAGTTATACCCACATTATAATCGGATGGTAACACAGATGCTGGCAAATTTTTCCACACTTTTGTACGCATTATGAACAACTGAAACTGAAAGTTTTGTATAACTCTTACATAAAACAATTTATATGTAAACTAATATGTATAATGCTTTTCAATGTATTTTTCATTAAATTATAAACACTTTCATTAGTTAAAATATTTCTGAAAACATACAGACCATGGTCGGTCTGAGGACTTGTTTTTTACATGTTGGTTGAAGCTATCACAGCCTCTTCTGGCTCCGTAAATTGTAAATCTCATCAATCAAGTCTTTGATTTTTGAGATAATCAAGAAATCGCATGGTGCGGAATCTGGACTGTGTGTGGGTTGGTTCAAGAGCTCCACCTTTTGGACAACAAAACTGACTTTATCTTGTTTGTGGTTTGTGCCGAAGACTTGTGTTAGGATGCGACGTTTTGTTCGTATAGCCTTTTTAAATGCAAAGTAACGGTGGTGTACCACTCAGTATTAACTGTCTTTTGTTCATCAATTGAGCTCACACAGAGCTTTTATATTAGCTATATTAATTGTATAGTTGTAGCACGAATGGGTCGGATCGATCGGAAAAGGACCACGCTCCCACAGAATACCACCGTAAAATAGCAGCTTAATACTGCTGTGTTTCGTATGGTGAGTGTAGAGAACCGGAGACCTTTTTTACTGGAAACGGGGCATTCCATCTTAGTCCTCACGGGTGGCAACGCATCTGCATTTTGATTCGTAATCGAGGATAGATGTAGATGTCTATGGGCCAAAGCGACCACTTACCATCAAGTGGAGAGTGTGCTTGTTTGTCACCTTATCTTATAAAAAAAAAACACAGACAGGACCTGTCTGGGGACAAAAAAACGTAATCATTTTTGCCCACGCTTCTTGCCTGCTTCAATTTTGTTCACGTCGCCTTCGAACACACTTGACTCTTGCTGTCTTTCCGGAATGTCTATTTAATCTCCTGTCACTATGAAAAAATAAAACATACACAGCATACCTAATTGAGCAATGAGTAGGTATTTAAATTAATAATTATAATATATAGATTCTTTTTAATACAATATTATTTCAGGTTTTGTTTATTACTATTAACTATTATAAAAATGTTGCCGATACTACTAAACTGAACGGTGCTTAGTGTGGAGCGTTATTTCGCCTCATGTTCGCTTTTCGCGCTTCTTCGCGAATGTGCGAACGGTTCCACATTATGCGTTCGTAACATGTTCGCGGAGATAAGTGTGGAGCGGGTATAATATGCTTGAAACTTTACCAAAGAGTATATCTACGTATTTATGTATGTAATTACTATAAGAGTATATCTGTTTGCTTCTTTGATTATCTTGTTTTGACAGTGAGTGACAGTTTTTGTCATGAATTTCCAGAAGAAAACTGTTTTCATTTTATCACAATATTATGAGGAGATAGTTTGCATCTATTGATTTTTTAAGTACGAAAGTTCGTAAAAAATAGAATGAAGTGAACCGTGATGTGATAGCCTAAAATTATTGTTTATATTTTCTTTATATTAAATTCGTATACGTATATATAGCAATAATTAAAAGTATAAAAAGATAGAGCTTGTAAATAATTGGCAACTGCATATTTATAATTATACCTAATATAATAACAAAGGCTCGCGGTTTGACAATGGCAGTATCAGACTGTATCGCTCCTTGGATGCGGCTCCCCGTCGTCGGTCTGGGGTCTTTACATTTGTCGTATAAGAGCTGGTTATATCGCCATTTAGTTGCTTCGCTAATATAGTGACCGTAAGCGCGACTGCTTATCATGAGGTTCCTGGTTCGGGCCAAAATCAGTAATTGTGTTTTTCTGCCAAGAAATTCCCAGTAGCAGCCCACAGTTAGAAAGTGGGCGGTGTTTTTTTTATTGAATAAGTGTGACAAACGAGCACATAGTCCACCTGATGGTAAGTGGTTGTTGTGGCCCAAAGACATCTACATCTATCTTCGATTACGAATCAAAATGCAGATGCGTTGTCAGCCTTGAGGACTAAGATATAATGCCTCTTTTCCAGTTAAAAGGGTCTCCGGTTCTCTACACTCACCATACGATAAACATCAGCATTAAGCTGCTATTTTACGCTGGTATCCTGTGAGAGCGTGGTCCTTCCCCGGTCGAGCCGACCCATTCGTGCTACAACTATACTATTAATATAGCTGCAGCATGGCTCTACCACGTACAAAAGTTTCACCTGCGTGCCTCAGAAAGCACGTAAAGTTGTTGGTCCTGCCTTTGATCTGTCTTCGGTCATGTCGCATTGCTGTCTAATCGTACTATGAGAGTGAGGGAATAAAGCAAATACCCTTGTGCAATATAATCCTGTCGTGCATATATGACTCGTCTACATTGAGACTGGTCGCCGTGTCGATGTTCGGGACGGCGTTCTGGTCGGCGTTCTATCGCCGTAAGTCGCCAAATTAACAAATTATGTGACGTTTGTGTTTCAATTAATTAAGAACTTGAGTTTTTGTTTACAGGGAACGACCGACTGGCAACTCTCGCGGTATAATGGAGGAACTACCTAACACAGAGACTGAAGGTGCTTTACTTGGACTTCCAGAAACCCAGACAGAATTAGACGTAAGTAGCGCCTAGCACGGTCAATTTTATTGGTATAACATATACTTGCTAATTAAAAGACTCGACATTCGACGTGCTTGCTAGGATAGTTATTTTCATTATAAATTATGAAGATCCGTATAGAATTACAGTACATTATTTTGTTAAAAACATGTAACCCTACACTAGGAATGGAGATATTTGTACATGGACAGCTTCCAGACCCGGAACAATGATATATAGGCAATACAAAAAGTTACACCGCGCGTGTATTCGAACTAGTGACCCGTAACACCGTAGCCAAATGCTCAGCGGCTGCCCTACCGAGTCATCACTTTTATTTTTGGTTAAGAACGCGCTATTTTTCTTTTATTTCCTTAAGTTTGGCTCATTAAGTTCCAATATAGTACAGTGAACATTATCAGTTCAATGCTGGATGCTCGTGTTAAACGTCACAGTATATGAGCAACCCCGAATGATAACAGAAATTGTAATTTTAATTTCATTCATTAGAGCCTATCAAAAGCCATCTTCTAAACATAAGGCTCCCCATAAATTGCCTTGTAGGGCCATATTTGCCAAAGTTGCCACGCTTGACAACTGTACTTTTATTATTATTTGAAGTTGTTAACAGGAAGGAGCTGCTCTCCATCTCCCGTTTTTCTCCCGCTGTCGCCTCTTACAACATCCACTGGATGATAATGAGTAGGTAGTAATAATAATAATAATAATACTAATAATACATTTATCACAGAATTCATTAGTATAATTTTTATATAATTAATTAGACAAGTGGATTGCGCGTACGTATGTGTGTGTAATTTTGCTATGGTATGTTGGTACAAGCTAAAATAGCGCAGTGGATAACCCTATAAAAATTAAAGGAAACTGTTGTGCTCACCAACTGATTGCTAAAAGTCGCTATTTTATAGTCTTTTTTAACGTAGGGATATTCACATGTGCGCTCAAAGGCCCTAAGGCTGGTATTTAGACACAATCTTGAGTTTAAAGTCAAAGTTCATAGTGTCAAATTTGAGCCTAGAACATATTGTTTTACACAAAAATTGCATTGTGTAATTTGACAGAAAGCGCTAACAGGTAGATTATGTGGGCTATTAACTATAATCTGCGGTGATTGTCCTCAAAGTCAGCAATGGTTCACTCCTATCACTTTATACTCTGGTTGTCTAACGTTAAGACACTTAAGATTTTTTATGCTCGGCTTTGCCAAAAACCTATTAATATATTGTCACCATGTAATTATTAATTTATTTTCATTCTAGAATTTAACAGAGTTCAACACAGCACACAACCGCAGGATTTCGATGTTGGGTATTTCAACAGACGATGGCACCGATGTTATGAAGGTAAGTATTGTTTCATAATTTGTAGAGCCACACTGCAGCTATATATGGCTGTGGCACTAATGGGTCAGTTTGGCCTGGGTAGTACCATGCTCACTTAGAATACCAGTGTGAAACAGCGAATTAATGCTGCTGTGTTTCATATGGTGATTGCAGAAAACTGAAGACCCTTTTTACTGTAACGAGCTATTCCATCTTAGTACTCAGGTGTGACAATGTGTCTGCATTTGAATTTTGAAACGAGTACAGATGTCTATGGGCTACAGCATCTACTTACCATCAGGTGGACTATGTGCTCGCTTGTCTCCCTTATTACATAAAATAAAAAAATATTGATGGTTAAATATAAAATTATCAATAGTTGTTAGGTAGGTACTATATATTGTTTTCTTACTCATTTACCGCCTTACTGATTTGCTCTCCGTCTCTCTCTCTCTTTTCACTAAATGACAGTAGAAAGCTATAGAGATCATCATACTTAATTTAAGCAAGCGATAATAAATGAGGCTGTCAATGTTTTTTAAACACTACAATTGAACCGTTTGCAGAAAGGTTTCAACCCACAAAAACATATAGTTATTCTGAAATACGTGTTATGTTATGTATATAATTTTAAAGAAAATTGAACGTAGATTTTGTAATTGCTAGTTGTTTTTCCGTCTTTCCTTCTTGGAAATAAACTAAAAAACGTGCCTCTGGATCATCATTTTGGCCGGTTTGTTGGTTGGTTATTTTTTGCACAATGTGGTCCAATTCTACTAAAACTTTAGTATGTGTTTGTATACCTAAGTGCTGTTTGTGATGATCTCAATCTCTCAACCTGAGATTTTGAAAATATGAACTTAATTTTGACACCTTTTTACTTGTAACGATGCATTCCATCTTAATCCTCAAGAGGGATTACAGTTACCATCAGGTGAACTGTTAGTTTGTTTATCACTTCACTTTTTTTTAAATATATGTGCAATAGTTGTGTTACGAGAAATTACCAAAAATAAAATTAGTATTTACTAAAATTATAGCCACCCACTGGTACAAAACGCTCGGCCTCCATGCCGGGTGGGGTCTCAAAGAAACAAAAGCGGAACGTGTCTTTCAACGAGGAGGTGGACATCATCAACCCAGAGGACATCGACCCAACAGTGGGCAGGTTTAGGAACCTCGTCAAGTCAACAATAGTCCCCAATTCTAACACCGCGCCGAGGAAATTAAAACTGCAGAGCTCAGATGATAGTAAGTTGTACTGGAAGGTTTCCTTAGCCAAATACGATGCCTTGAAATATGAGATACATTTTGGACGTGTTGAGGAAAAAATATTCTTTACTAACTGATTGAAAGTTCATTCCTTGAACCTCTCCCAATTTAGGGATGATTTCACCAAATCAATTTATACGTGGTAGAGCCACCCTGCAGCTATAGTATAGTTGTAGCACGAATGGGTCGGCTCGACCGGGTAACGTTCCACGCTCTCACAGAATACCAATGTAAAATAGTATTAATGCTGCTGTTTCGTGTGGTGAGTGTAGAGAACTGGAGACTGGTTTTCAGTGGAAACAATGCATTCCATCTTGGTCCTAGTAGATGTCCACGTGCCACAGCATTCACTTACCATCAGGTGGACTATTTGCCCGTTTGTCACCCTTATTCTATAAAAATAATGCAAGAAGATAGTATGCAACAAGGTGCATGATCGTTTGCCCACACTTTTTTAAAAAAAAAATCTGGCTTATCGTAAAGTTGCCTCTTATCACACATGGAATGATATGGGTCCATTGATTCTCTTACGCTGTCATCACACCTATTTCTAACACCTAACCATGAAGAAGTTAACATTGCCGATGTGGTTATTTTATCACTCGCCGTCAAGTCGAGACTACAAGTTATATCTGGCATTTTAATTTAATCGACTCTTAAAACTTAAGCAAGAATAATATAAGTTAATAAATTTAAATACCTGCCGAGCCGTTCGCCGGTTTCTGCTGACTGTAGCCACCTCTCTACTCTCGATATTAATAAAAGTATTTATGTTAAAAGATATTAACATTTTAATAAACTTTACAGATCAGCACCATCACTCACTTAGGTTGCAGGAGATTTCCAGAGGTAACAATCTATATTCGGATCTACCGGCACCTTCGCACTTGAGCCTTATTGGTGCTAGGTTAGTACTATATTTTTAACTTTCTATTTGGAACTTGCTGTAATGATTTGAAAGACCAAATTCAACACATTGTAACTTTTTATCACTCCTTAAAAGTCCTTTGGATAAAAGTCCCTCCAGATGTAGGGAAAATATCAGCAAACATAAATAAAAGGAAGCATCCGTAGCTACAAAAATGACCCAACGCAAATTGGGCTGCACTTACTTACTGCTTACTTAACTAGTTAGAATGCTGCGAACAAGTTTAGTTCGAATAACGTCATTATTGTAATACAAATTAGTTATAATTTCTATTGCACCTAATTTTTCATAAAACATATCTGGAGACAAGTGACGAGCATTGATGATGGTTATTGAAACTAAAAAATGTGGGGATATAAGGTCAAATTTTGGCTGTGCGTACCGAGTCGTAATAAAACATAATAAACCATTAGTTAACCAGTGATGGAGCGGGATATTTGCCATTTCAGGCGAGTTGGAATCCGCAGTTTTTTTTATTTTCTTGTTGTTTTAAGGAAGACGCCGCTGCTCTGTCGCCTACACTGACGTGACGTGGTTATGGTCACAACGCATCAGCATTATTTCAGCATTTATTCTTATTAATGTAGTTGTCTATGGTGGCCACATCATCCCTACCTACACCCTAATTCTACAAAAACGGATTTAAGTGTAGCTACTACTAGGTGGTAAAAGTCCTTTTTCTGCAGCAGTCCGTCTGGGTGGGTAACATCCATTTGCCTATTTCTGTCACCAAATAGCAGTGCTTGCACTGGTGTATTTCGGTCTGAAGTGTGAAGGGAACCAAACGTTTTTAACTTGGTAGAGCCATACTGTAGCTATATTAATGGTATAGTTGTAGCACGAATGTGTAGGACCACGCTCTCACAGAATACCAGCGTAAAAATCGCAGCTTAACGCCGCTGTGTTTCGTTTGGCGAGTGTAGAGAACCGGAGACCCCTTTTTATTGGAAACGAGGCATTCCATCTCAGTCCTCACGTGTGACAACGCATCTGCATTTTGATTAGTAATCGAGGATAGATGTAGTTGTCTATGGGCCACAGCAACCACTTACCATCAGGTGGACTGTGTGCTCGTTTATCACCCTATTCCTATAAATAAATAAAAAAAGCAGTACAAATACAAGCCGTGAGGCATTTCATCTTAGTTCTCAAAGATGACACCGCATCTAGCCTTGTTATATAGCCTTGTTAGTTTGAAGTTGGCTGCAGGTGTCCATGGACTGCAGTAGCCACTTACCATCTTGTGAAGTGTAAGTTCGTTTCTCACTATACTTTTATAAAAAATCTATTAAAGTCCATAGCCAAAAAGTGTAGTTAAGTGTAGTTGTATAAAATGGTTTGAATAATTCAGATTGGGCATTTCGTTGCCGAATCCGGCGCCTGACGTGGAACTGGAGGGTCTGGAGCCGCACCTCAATATACATCCGCCGCTACCTCACGCAGGTAAGCATATTCTACCCGTTCGATAGAAAACATTATAAATGAGTTATATTTATTTTATTTATGTCTGTCTGTCATAGTCATTCTACAATATGAATGTAAGATTAAATTTATCCTCACCAATAACAGCCGTGGTTGATGCCGGGAGCAACTTGGGTTGAATCTCTACTGGTACCAAATTGCTAATTGTAATTTTAAATGTAATAAGTAACTCTTGTCTCCAAAAGGCACAATTGATTTGAGAACGGGAGCAACTTGGGTTGAATCTCTACTGGTACCAAATTGCTAATTGCAATTTCAAGTGTAGTAAGTAACTCTTGTCTCCAAAAGGCACAATGAATTGAGACCAAATGGTATAGCTACAAATAATTTTAAAGAAACGTGTTTTCCACAGCACCCGAAGAAGCTGGACCTTCAAGCGAGCCGAAGAAGAAGAAATACGCAAAGGAAGCGTGGCCCGGAAGAAAACCCGGCCTCATATCTGGCGTTTAACGATAATTCAGTGCTTCTAGAGTTGATTGAACTTTTTAAATCACAAACTTCTATGAAATGTAGATTTTTTGTATATCGATTTTATGTTAAGTGCAATTCGAGGTCCATTCGCTGCGTGGTTTTAAATTTTTACAATAAAAATTGTAAACACAAGTGGTGGAGTGATCCTATTGGAATAAATTATAGCAACGGATACCATAGACAATTTTTTTTATTAGTTGACTCAATCACAGTTTAACAATAATATAAAGAAATACTGAACAAATTCTTTTGTCTTTTTTTGTTAGTTGAGTTTTTATTTAAATTTGGCCGTGGCTTAGAGGCGGCGGTGGCGAAGAGGTGACAGAGGGAACAAAGCAGCATGTTCGTGATTAAAACTCAATAATATATTTTTTCTTTTTTCTTTCCCTTTCTCCCTAACGCTCTATCGTTTGGTCTCCTCTCTCGAGAGGCCGAGAGCTGCCATATAGTTACATTTTTATTTATTTATTTTATTACTATATTTTAATACCCTAAATAAACTGCGATTACCAACGGGCCTGCCAAGCGTGGCAACTGTGGCAAATCCTTGTGAGGCAATCTATAGGGGAAGCCTGATATCAACAGTGGAATTTTGGGCTGTAATCAACTACCGAATGATGAATGAAAGAAAGAAAGAAAGAAAGAAACATTTATTTGCACAGAATACAGGTGGTACCAGATTTAACAGTGGTGCATAGTTCATGCTATATTCTGCCTTTAATAGGCATGCAAATATAATTATATAAAACAATTAAAATATTATTATGTTACTTACAAAAATTTGAAGTTATGTTAGTATTTATCATAAATTATATACAAAATATTATTATTATTATTATTATATTTTTTTTATTATATTACATTTTATTATTATTATATATTGCTATTATTATATTACATTTTATTCAATATTACAAATAATCATATACATTAGTTTTATGTTGCATGAACTCTTGTATCGTATAAAAACACTTATCCACTAGCCATTTTCTTAACTTAATTTTAAAATATTTTAATGGAAGTTCCCGTAGACTCTTAGGCAGTTTATTAAAAACTGATATGCACATATGATATACATTACGTTTATTTAAAGCTGTTCTACAAAATGTAATCATTATTTTAGTTGGATCTCTTGGTCTGTATTTACTAAAATGATCCCCCTTGAATTTAAAAAAATCGTTATACTTCCTTACAAAGACTGATACCTCAAGAACATACATGCAGGTTAATGTCAGTAAATTAAGTTTTTTAAATAAAGGTTTACAGGAGTCAAGTGGACTTGCTCCACAAATAGCTCTTAAACATTTCTTTTGTGCAATGAATGCTTGACCAACATCAGTCGAATTCCCCCATATTATTAACCCATATCTAAGGATTGATTCTACATAGCCTTTATACGCTATACCTGCAGTCTTTTCATCTGATACGGTCCGAAGCTTTCTAAGGGCATAGGAAAATCTGTTTAGTTTGAGACAAGCATCATTTACATGTTGTTTCCAATTACAAAATCTGTCCAAAGTTATACCCAAAAATTTTATGCTGTCAGCTTCTTCTATACTGTCATTTTCTATTTTTATGTTAATGTTATTATCGGGGGGTTTACTTTTATTCGTACCAAATTTTATGAATTTTGTTTTTGACAGATTTACATTTAATTTGTTTGCTTTTAGCCATCTTAATACAGATTGTACCTCTTTACTTATTTTAATTTCGTGAGATGTATCTTGATCCTTATATGGCACTATTATAGATATGTCGTCTGCGAAAAGAACACTTTGACAATTTATTGAATTTGGTAAGTCATTAATGTACGGTAAGAATAATAAGGGACCTAATACACTCCCTTGTGGAACTCCATGTTTATTGACCCTGGATGGAGATCTGTGTACACTGCATTCAGGACTGTCATTTAAAGTAGTGATTTCAACATATTGTTTACGATTGATTAGAAAACTTTTTATCCAGTCTAAAGCTACACCTCTATTGCCATATGTTTCGCATTTGTTGAGCAAAATCCCATGAAAATCAAAAGCTTTACTCATATCAAAGAATATAGCTATCACCGGAATTTTCTCATCAATGTATCCAGTTATATTTTTTATAAGAGAGAATGCTGCTAAAGAAGTTAATTTATTGTGTTGAAAACCATTCTGTTCTTTTTTAATAATATTATGTTTATTAAGGAATTTAATTAACCTGTTGTAAAAAACTCTTTCAAACATTTTTGATATAATAGGTACAAGTGTAATAGGACGATAGTTATTAGGTTCCTTTCTATCACCTTTCTTGTACAATGGTTTAATAATAGAGTGTTTTAATTTATCTGGAAATATTCCTTGAATCAAGGAATTTGTGATTATATGGTTAAGAATGGGGGCAATGACATGAGCACTTGCTTTAATTATTTCTGTAGATATAGAGTCATACCCCACAGCTTTGGTATTATTTAATGATTTAATTATATTTATGATTTCAAGCTCTGAAGTAGGTATCAAGAATATTGATTGATCATTAACATCTATTGATATTTTTTGATATTGTTCGTTTGGCGCATGTAAATTATTTCCATTACTAATATTAATAAAAAAGTCATTCAAAAAAGTTGCTATTTGTGTAGGATTGTGAATAATATTTCCGTCGTTTTGTATTGATTTCACGCTGTTAATCGAGTTGATACTATTATTTTTATCTTTTATTATGTCCCAAGTGGCTTTTCCTTTATTTTTTGCTCGCTTAAGATGTTTTCTGTATATATATATTTTTTTGACCATATTATGCATTTCTTTAATATTTTTCCATAAATATTATATTTTTCCAATGTATCTTGTTTCTTAAATTTATAATATGAAAACCTTAACTGTCTTTTAATGGCACTGGCTTTTCTCAGGCCTTTAGTGATCCATGCAGGAGATCGACTGTTTGTAGTTATTTTAGATTTATAGTAGGGAAAACATAACTCATAATTCAATGTAAGTTCTTGATGAAAAATACTAAATGATTTATTTACGTCTGATTCCGCGTAGACTTCATGCCAAGATAATTGTGATATATAATATAGAAATTTTTCTATATTTTCATCACTAAAATCTCTTTTTTTAACGTACCAATATTGTGACATTTTTTCACACTTTCCTGGAAATTCTAACACTTGCGCGGTATCGTGATCAGATAAATAGAGCCGGTGTACTGTACCATATGCCTCTTCGTGATTACTTGCTATGAGATCTATACAGCTATTTTGTCGTGTTGGCTCATATATATGTAAAGTTAAATTAAAATTTGAGAGGATATTTTTTAAGGTAATTGTACTTTTATTATTTAATAGTATATTAATGTTTAAATCACCTGTTAATATGAGTTTTTTATTTATAATTTTGAATCTTAATTTATGTAGCAGTATTTCCAATTTATTAAAAAATGAATTAATGTTAGATGTAGGTGTTCTGTATAAACATATTACTACTGTATTTAAACTGGGGATTTCTATACCGCAACATTCAAATATATTATCACAAGAGCATTCTTTACATATTTCTATTGGCTTGCAATCAATTCCGCAATATGTTAGAATGCACGTACCACGCTTTTGTATTTTCCTAGAATAGTAACTACCCATTGTATATCCCTTAATAGTAATATGTGACTCATCACCTCTTTTTATAAAAGTTTCACTAAAGCATAAAATCTGTATTGGATAGTTATTTTTGGAAAGTTCAATTAGACATAGTTCAATGGTGTCAATTTTGTTTAAAATATCTGCTATGTTTTGATGGAGTAGTCTTATTTTATTTTTTTTATCTGCTTTTAATTTTAATTCCCGTGGCTTACTTATAAAAAATTCTTATTGTTAAATATTTTAGATGAAGTAGTTGAATTACGTTTAATGATAGGAAAATAATATGGGATGGTCCCTTTTACTCTGCATATACCCGAAGGGGAACTTTTTGGTAAGCTATGTTTAATAATAGAAAGATAATAGGGTTTTACTTTATTTGTACCTGAAGGAATATATTTAGTATTATAGTCTTTGGTATCTATGGTTAGATTGATTAACCTGCATATATGACCCTGTAAGTAGTGGTAGTTATAATAATGTTTACTTAAATGAGATATATCCAAAAAATGGCAATTATGGTAAGTTTGACATGTAAATTTTAGACGTGTATTTAATTTTTTTTCATTTACGTATGTATTTCTATTAACACTAAGTATTATTAGATTACATTTGGTCAACAATTCTAAACTATTCTTTAAGTGAAAATGGATTTGGTTTGGGTCTGCATCATTTTCACAAATACATAATATTACCCAATCTTTTTCTGATATGTCCAAATTACAGCATGGTTTCAATGACTCATTACACTTAGCAAACGGTTTTATAAAGGAATATATTTTGTATTTTTCGTATTTATTTGTATCCCTCGAAATTGTTAGTTTACAAAGACCCATGCACTGCTGTTCTCCAATAATGAATATTCTTCGGTTGTTTTGTACATTAATATTTACAAAGTTTTTAGTGCCATCTTGTGGTTGATTGTGGTTGGAGTTATACATTGACATTTCTTGTATGTCAACGCCACATCCTAATGCATTTTGAGTTTCTGGAACCACTTCAGTCACTGATATATTATTTCGTTGTTGTATGCGTATGTTACTGGTGCCATCTGTTGGTATTATGTCATCATCTGTTTTTAGTCTAAGATCTCCAATACTCATGCTCAAATTGTTTTCTTGTAGATTTTTTGTATTTTTTTCGTTATTAGAGAATAAGTGATTTTTTTGACTTGTGGCGAACCCGTATAGATTTGTTTTAACTGCAGAATTTTCCTTTCATGCTCGTTAATTTGCTGTTTAAGATTGCTGTTTTCCGAGTTTAAATTATCTATTTCAGCATGCGCTATTTGTAGTTGCTCCTGTAATTTTAATATTTGCTCTTTGTAGCACTCACAGTCCTCGTTATATAACTGTGCAGTGGATAA